TCTCTCTCTCTCTCTCTCTCTCTCTCTCTCTCTCTCTGTGTCTGTGTGTGTGTGTGTGTGTGTGTGTGTGTGTGTGTGTGTGTGTGTGTGTGTGTTGCCGTTGATTCAAATGTTCATCATGTCGTACGGTGTGTGTTGCCTTTTTTCACTGGCGTTGTCCATCCAACTGTCCACTAAGGCCCTTGGGTGTCAGCAATTTTCTCCTCGTCCTGTGTGTGTAAGTAATTTTCTCCTCATCCTGTGGTAAGTAATTTTCTCCTCATCCTGTCGTAAGTAATTTTCTCCTCGTCTTGTGTGTAAGCAATTTTCTCCTTGTCCTGTGCTGTACAGAGGTCATTTTCCCCTCGTCCTGTGTTGTACAGAGGTCATTTTCCCCTCGTCCTGTGTTGTACAGAGGTCATTTTCCCCTCGTCCTGTGTGTTTAATTCTGTGTTGATGTTATGCCCATTGCCTGGAGAAGATTTTCATTTGTAACAATTACTTTGACCCAGGATGAGATTGGCTTGTGGGCTTGCACCCAATGTCATTGGAAAGGGTGTGTGATTTCAATGGAGTTCGCACTTTTGGGGAAACACGTACCTGAGCTCTGTCCTTGAATTTGTGTCATATTGTTTGGTTATGCTTTGATCAGGCGTTTTCTGAGATCGGCCCAAGCAAATACGAAGGTGGGTCGTGTCCTATAGCTGATGTTTGCTTCCAATTTCGATATTTTTTTGTACTTTTTTTTGTTCTTTTTTTTTTTTTTTTTGAAAGGTTGTGCACGCTGTGGTAAAGGTCGGCCCGACCCTGACGGCCAGTGCCATAATCACACTCACACGACACACACACACAGCAGAGTGCGGCTTTCCAAGGGGGGAGACTCCCAATTGTACCCAGTCTCTCAGGGACCGTCCGCCCCCCAACTGTGTATGTTGTAAGCACAGCCAGCAGAATGCTCAACGGGCAAGGCCCCCCATACAACATCTACACAGCCTTGCAACCATCCCCCCGCAGGGTAGGGATGCAAAGTCACCGGAGTCCAATATGGCGGATTCCGATCGCGGGCACTCATATGCCGTTTTCTATACATTCATGTGATTGTTTATTTGGTCGTAAAGTGACAGGGGACAAGTTTGGAAGGGATGAGCGAACTGGACTCTGGAATGTAGGATAAGCATTGGAAGCGGCATCAGTATGGAAAAGCCATATGTGTTGGTAATGGTGTATTCAAGAATGACTGTAAAGGAAATGTGGTGCCTGTGGGGAAAGGAAGGTAACAGGGTGGGAGGAAGTGCGAGTTGCTGTGAGAGAAAGCAGATTCTCATTGTTGCTATTAGGGGTGCTCTGAGTAATTTCGTTTTGAGCGCGCTGGGAATGCACTATCTATGCAATGTAGTTGTCTGGAGGTGTTAGCGTTGTTTGACTGCGGTCTGCCAGCTGTGGAGTTTCCTCATTCATGATGCTGATGCCATAAATTCCACCACTTGAACGAGTGAGACATGCTGAATCTTAGGTGGAAGCCAACTGGAATGGTGTATTGTGTTTCTGGTGTGAAATCAGATGTTAGTTCTATGTATGTGAAGTCTTCGAACCTTTTGAGGCACCACCTCCAGAGATTTTTGTGCAAAAGCCCCAAGGGTATGAGTGATTGCTGCAGCTGTGGCACAGGGGGGAGGACAGCAGAACGGGATACACCCACCGACAAGTAAACTGTGAGCGGACAACCTGTAATTTATTGTGCTAGCCATTTTCATTCTTTGAGCGCTGCAACTGATGATGTTCATGCTCATGCTCATAGCTTCCGGTCATTCTCTCATTTTTTTCCAATATTGGAAGAGGGCTTGATGATTCTCAGCCGAGGAGACCGTCGTGTCAATGACGGAATGACTTATGTTTTCTATGGTCTTGCGGAGAACTTCACAGCAAAATCGCGTGCCACAATCTTCATTCATGGGTTTGAGCTTTGAACCGTTTCAGAGGGTGAAAAGAATTATGTGGCACAATTTTTGTTCTTGGATCCAAATCGTTCGAGAGGGTGAAAATAATTACGGCGCTCCTGTGTGAGGTGGGCAAGTGATGTGTTTGAATTGATAGCCAGTGTAAACTGTTAATTGTCATTGTTAGTGGCCAGTCGTTGTTCATGCCTTCCCACAATTCTGCTCAAGGTCTAATTGCTGCGGATGTCTTCTCGGCATCGCACAGCACAGGGAGAACATTGCCAATGCGTGCTCACAATGAGGGCAAGAGTTCTGACAGGCCGAATGAACAACACCAGAGAGCGGTCCGACAGTATGCGGGTTGGCCCATGAGAATAGATTGCCCTGGGTGAATCCAGAAGCTGCCCATAATTCTCGTTTGCAATGCAGTGTTCTGTATTGGGGTTGGCCCGTGAGGATTAATTGCCCTGGAGGTCCCCAGGAACAGAGCAAATGATGTGGCCCTTTTTTGAAAGGGCTAGCCTTTCACGTCTTGCTCAGAGAAAATGGCCCTCGGGTTGGTACTGTTCATGTTTCTTAAACGACCAGTGCAATTTTGTTAAATGGCCCTCGGGTTGCCCCAGCCTTGCAGAAAAAGCAATTTGTAGGCGACGGAAACTTTGTAGACTCGAGGCTGCCAGACAGAAATGGCTGGCAGGGCCAGCCAAAAGAGAAAAGGAGCGTGCCGCTGGCGGTTTAGCAAAGCTCGGAGTGCAGTGCAGCGTCTCCAGGCCCAGTTGTACTGGTGTTTTAAGCTAGGCAGGGCGGGTCATCTTTTGAATTTGGGCAGATCTACACTGAATGCCAAATACCATACTGTTTGAGAGGCTGCTCTGTGGTAGAGTTATGTGAGAGATTGACTTTTGACATGGATGCCGTGGCTTGCCTCTTTGTTGTTTTCACGTCTGTTCTGCTACTGTGGAGATTGAAGTTCCCCTTTGTTGTTTTCGCGTCTGCTCTGCAACTGTAGTATAAATTGCTCCAGTTGCTCTTGGAACTGATGAGGTCACAACATGACCCTGTCTGGACATGGAAACATTTCAAGGTTCATCCAGTTGCCAAAAGAGTGCCTCACTGTGCCCAAGTTCAGCGTGGTCATTGTTGCTGTATCTAGACTGAGTGGTGGCCCAAGTACGGCTACAATGATGACGTGCTCAGCTTGGGTGATATGTTCTGGGGCTGGATAAACACAGTAGTAAGGAAAGCTGGCTTATGGGAGAAGAGAGGGAAAGCGCAAGGCCGGTACGTGGTCATCTGTTACGGGTGCTGACTCTGCTTTCTATTCATCCCCCATAGATATGAAGGTCCACACTTGTGCTCTTTCAGCAGTGTGCACAACACTGGATTATCTTCTTGTGATATGGATGAGGTCTTTGGTGGCTACTTGATGTCTCCGATGTCATTCCTTGTATATACTGATACTGCTGATCTGTTCAGTTGTCTTTTGTCGTTTGGTGCTTTTCCTTAACATTATTATTTTATCTGGCTGTGTTGCGCACATGGTTGGCATTATGGCGATGATCGAATAGATGGAATTCCTGGGGAACTACCTGGCAGAGCTGACTCTTCTCGATTATAGTTTCTTGAGATATCTTCCATCGATGGTCGCAGCATCAGCAGTCCTAATGGCCAAGTTCACACTGGAACCTAATCAGCGTCCCTGGGTGAGTCTTCAATCCATGTGCTCGGATCCTATTTGGATGTTCCAGTGCCGTGGAGTTTTTTTCTCCTGGCTGTGTGCTGTTCTTAGGTGCAGCAAGCTCCAAACAGAGGCATAAAATGCAGTGTGCGGCAAATCAGGTCTTAGAAAACAGAGTTGCATAAAATGCAGCGTGCCAACAGTGTGTGATGTGCTCACAAAACTACCTGAGAAATAGATGGAATATGTCCACGACCAGTGTGGGTTGTATTCGGGGGATTGTAGCTTTCCCGGCCCCCAAATGCAACGCTGGTGGCGAGGCTTGAAAAGGAAATGACAAGGAAAGAAACTCTGAAAGTGCAGTTAGTTTCATCGTCTTCCCTGGCATGTGGAGCGAATTCTCTCTTTGAATAGGAACACTTAAAAAAACAGGTGTGGTTTCTCTACTTTTTACTCTCTGTCATGAGATAAATGACTAGTTTGTTTGGGAACCTGAGCGTGTATGAGATTTTGATTCTTCCGCAAAAGAGATTCGAGCATGATCTGTAGATTACCCATAAGGAAGTGTATCAACATCTGAGCTGACACTGTGTGGCTGTAGGGCTTACATTGGATCCAGTCTAGCTTGTGAGGTTTGTGACGATTACAGTACAAGGCTACCTGTTGCGGCTTCGCTCGCAAGGGATTGAGGGGGAATGGGAGAAATGAGTTGGGGTGGTGGGTTCGGGGGGTTTTGGGGTGGTGGTCCTGTGGGGGGCTGTGCCATAACAGCTATGGCACCTCCTGCTAGTTGGGGAGGTTCTGCAACAGCTGGCTTTGGAAATCGGCATGCTATGTCTACCCTTACTGTCTTCCCCCGACTCTAGACTGAAATCCAGCGGCGTACCTTGGTTGGTATGGCACGCAAGTGGCATTCATGAGGTCTTGGGTTCAATCGCCGTTGGCCTCGTGTACCTTCCTGGGCAAGCTTGGCACCAGGCACATAGAGAAGGACCGGAGGGGAGGCACGTCCTTTTCTCCTCGAGCTGTGGAGGTGTTGCGGAGGAGCGGGCAGAGTGAAGAAGCGGGGGAAGAGGGTGGAGGAGGGCGGCAGGAGCAGAGAAGTCGTGGGGGATGAGTGGGGTAGTTAGTCTGGGGTCTCTCTCTCTCTCTCGCTCTGCTGCATGCGGTTTTTCTGTGTTCTTTTTTTTTCCAAATAACCCTACCAAGGCTTGTCGGCCGCGGCACCGAGTCTCGCATCTGCAATGGTCCACGTTAGTGTTTTCGTATCGCGAAGCGTGAGACGTCCGATGTAAAATTCTGACGCGTGATTGTTTGCATCGCAAAGCGTGAGACGTCCGATGTAAAATTTGACGTGCCTGACGCGTCTGATGCATTTGGCATTTCTTTTTTTCTCGGGCGAGTCCGGTTTCATTTCGTTTTTGGGGTCTCTTTTATGCTTTGGGCCTCGCTGCATTACTCTTGAAAGATGGACAGACACACGGTCGTGATTTTTGTTTGTTGTGGATGTCGAGAGTAGTGAATCCTCCGCTAGAATACGGACAGATACACGGTCATGATTTTTGTTTTTTGTGGATGTCGAGAGTAGTGCAGCGAGGCCCTTTGTCGCTTGCTGTCGGTGGGTGCTTGGGGCCGGTCGGTGCTTGTTTGGGGCCGGTCGGTGGGTGCTTGGGGCCGATCGGTGGTGCTTGGGGCCGGTCGGTGGTG